AGCATAAAAAGTCAGTTGAGAAGATACATATGGTTAGGTAGAAACTCCCGGTCATTCTCACTGAAGATGATTCCGAGTTGGAAGCAGACAGGGACATAATTCACAGGTTTAAATTTTGTTTTCCTTTTCTGCTGCTTTTAATGATGTTGGGATTTTTTAAAAATTGTTCAGAAATTTGATTGTTTTAATTTTTAAAAACATAAATTTGAAAATCCTTTCCATATTTTATAAAATGTCTGTATTTTAAACATTATTCCAAAAGTTCAACAAATGTTCATGAATTTAATTTTTCCCCATATTTTGAAATACGTTCCTAATTTTAAAAATTGTTCATGAATTTGAAAAAATATTTCCAGATTTCAAAAAATGTTCCAATATTTTTTAAAGATAATCACGAAATGAAATAAATAAAGAGAAAAAAGAAGAAAAAAAATCAAGAGATGGACCGGAGAAAAACTAAAAACTGGCTCAGAGAAAACAACAATGAAATAACCAGTCCAGGGAAGGTCTTAGAGCCTTCCCAAAACCGGTGGAAGGAAATGAGAATGGACCAGGGGGTGCACATTTGATCGCTGAACATGAACGATCTGCCATCATATATCAGTCATGATGCACAAGTAGGCCGGAGCTATTTGAGCCTGGTAAGTTTGTGCAAGCCCAAGCCTGCTGGCAACTTGAGTTACAGAGCATATGCTTGACATGCTTGTTTGTCTTCTTTACATAAAGAAAGCAAAACTTCCCCTAAAAAAAACATAAAGAAAGCAACAACAGAAAAACAGAAAAAAAAATGGACAGGAACAACAGAACAGAAGAACAACGGAAGAACGGATACCACCACTTCAGAATGTTGATATTCATTCCTCTTCCTTCACTTCAGAATGGTAAGGAAACAAGTTGCAGTGGTTTATAAGAAGAAAATGCAGTATGCAGTGGCTTGTAATCCGCCAAAACTACTTCAGAATGTTGCTCGGTACAGAATGGAACATTCAACAGTTCAAAGTCTCGGTTAGGACTGAACCAAATTCCGACAGGACTGCGTTGAATCATAGATAAAAATCCATCACCACTGATTTCCTGACTCCCAAAATCCAGAGCTCACATATTTTGGGACGCCTGTGGAAAACCCTGGCACTGAAACTAGCATGATAACTTAGGAAATAAGGTGTTGTAAAGTAATCTCAATGCCCGACACGATGTCCGAACTGAAAAAGCAATTGCGGGAAGAATGTGCAACGATTCAAGACTGTAACATCTCTCACAAACAACATAATAATCCAACTTATATAGTCCACCGTGAGGTGGGTGGATGAACTGTAAATACATATTTCGTATCAAACAGTGGTGCATACACAGCCACATGGAACAGAGGTACATTCAGTAAAGACGCTAGTGTTGTGTGCATTCATTCACAAAACCATACAAATGCAGAGCATAGCTAATATACTGGAATCACTATAGCTCACAGTAATACAAATAGACAGCACATGCACTCTGAAAAGAAGTACTAGTAGCAGGCAGCCCTGTGGATCAGTTGGTGGAAGCCCTGAGGAAATCCATCTTCAGCAGATAGCCATCTAAACCCTGAGGAAATCCAGCTCCAGCAGGTAGCCATCGACGTAATGCGCTTTTCCAACAAGATCCACGCCCTCGTCGTCCTTGTAGACGTGACACCCGTAAGGACCAATGGATATGGTGTAGCCAAGCTCAGCGAGCTGGCCAGTGGAGACGAGGTTGGCCTCAAGCCCTGGGACATACAGAACATCTCTCAGGGTCATGTTCTTGGTGTTCACCGATCCGCGGCCATGGAATGGCATACGCCCCTTAGTCGGCGTGTCGATAACTTGATCGCCGGAGGCTGGCGTGTAGTCGGTCAAATATTTGAGGTATCCTGTCATATGTTGCTGGGCAGCAGATGCAATACGCCAGGATCGCTTTGGTGTAGTGTCAGGAGTCAGTAAGCTCGAGTTGTCCGCAGATATAGGTTCAGATCTGGTAATCAACAGAGCAGCCCAAGAGTTAATTAATTATCACAATAGATAGATCTTAATTCGTTCGAAGAAAGAAGCAGAGTAAGAAATTATCATCAATACTAAACAGTATCGCATCGAATTTGTAGTTGTGCAGATGAATTCTCAGAAATTGGTATCAAAAAATAAATGGGTCAATCAGATATAGCAATCTCAGCTTCAAAAATAAGCATCTAACAAGCTCGAAACAACTTTGGTGGAAATCGTCATAGAATTCGAAACTAAACAGGCATCTTAAATCGATTGGAAAACTAGAAATTCGTGTCCTATTTTGCAGCAAGCAACACAACGCAAAGCAAAAGGGAACAGAGTAACCAAGGGTTGACAGATCCGCCCAAGACGGAATGGATCAGCCATCATAGACGGAAAGGGGAAAACAGAGGATCCAGTAAGTACATCAAGGTGAAGTTGGAGCTGGCGACCCTGGACGCCATTAGGGACGACTAGTATCTCCGGTCCCAAGCAACACCTCTACTGGTCAAGAGTATTTTGGTTTTGATGAAGATGAGGTCAAAGAATTTGGGTGAAGGCACGCACTTCACTCGTAGTTATTATTTTTGCAGCGAAACCCTCATGCGATCCTACAATTATGTTTGTTACTTTTCCAAGTTTTGTAATATTTCAACTTGTAGTACCACTTTTACATACAGGGAATACTTTGATATAGATAGATATGAAGAGCATACCTTGAGACGACACCTCTTGGATTCTTCTGAGACGAGCATCGCCTGGATACCATCCTGCGGCCCTTGTTGTGTCTACTCTTCCTGACGCGGTGTCGTGTCTTCTTCATTTCGGCCTTGCTGCAATTAACAAGCAATGATAACAGGCGGCAATACCTACGGAGATTTTCCATGAAGTCTCGGTGTTCATTGGGTACAGAGACAGGATCAACACGGTGTAAGCCAAGAAGGGGATTCAACAGGCCACCCGTCGAGCGAGAATTAGCCCCAGAGTCTAGAACCATTTCAGGGCTACCGCTGGCATCTGCTGCCATTGTATACGTAGAAACAAGACGACGACGGTAATTCTTCCATGTGTCACAGAATGAAAGCTTGAAATCCCGTGAGGGCAACACACCTCCTGTCTCTAGTGAACTGTCGGTGACGGTGACGCTAAAATTCACACCTTCAGTCCCCAAGTCCTTGAATACCCTGCATACTAGTGTCTTGCTGTCTATATTCTGAAACATTGTGGGCGAGTAAAGATCCCAGAACAGATCCCTCACGAGGGATGTCTTGCCTGCCCCTCCAATCCCATAGACACCCAATACATGTAAGAGTTGACCTTCTCTGCAGGCATAAAATCGTGAAGTGTGTTAACTATGCATAGGTATATACTAAACGCACATGTGCTTATTCATGATCATTTCATTTTGGTTTTATTTAATCTTCCATTCTTTTCAATCAAAGTAAAGAAGAATCTAACTATTCTCAGATTTTTCGATGTTGTCTGTCGAGAAATGTTCGGTTCGCTCGTTTCAGTATTTGAACATGAAAAAGAAAGAGCTTAATTAATGCAACTATTGGTCACACAAATGCATACCTAAATTGTAGACACAAAAAATTTCTTGGTTTCGCCATGGCAATTGCACACAATGAATTTGATACTCTTTTCACACAGAGTAATTACCATTTGTTGCAAATGTTCAGTACTATGCCAGCTCAAATAGACATTTTCTTCCTGCCCAAAGTATATTGCTACACAACTAAGTACCCCCTCCGTCCCGAATTACTTGTCGTAGAAATGGATGTATCTAGACATATTTTTAGTCCTAGATACATACATTTCTATCCATTTCCGCGACAAGTAATTTGGGACGGAGGGAGTACATTATTAAGGATCTTCCAATTATCCTTGTTGAGTATATTGATTATCAGGAAGTATAGGATAGACTATGATTTGTTCCTGCCTTGTCTTGTACTTCAAATTGATCATTGTACTCCTATATATATATATATATACCTATGAGGCCCAAGCAATGAATATCCAATCTCTCCCTATCCCTTCTAACAATCCTTAAATTTAAAAATACAACGGCCAAGCATAATTTAGAATTTGTGTAGCATCATTGTATTTCGCAAAGAAAAACATGTAGTACCTGTTTTTGTCATGAGCAGCAATAAGTTCATCAATAAGTTTACCCACTGATTCCCGGACTGCTTTGGCGAAATGGTCCTGTGCACCGTGAAGGTGATTTATACCCTCACAATTCCCTTTAATAATTTTGTAACGTGTTGCCCAGAAATTATTTCGTGTAACGTAATTATTTCGTGGTTGGTAGCTGTAGCCAAGGAACGGTACGACATCTGGATGCTGGGCATTGATAAGGTTATGGTATTCATGGAGAAATGCCCAAGCATCTTGTCCTTGAAGGAGCTGATTCTTCTTCACTTGGCCGCCAAAAGCTGGCGTGTAACCAGTGAAACGCTTGAAGTAACTTGTCACATGTTTCCGAGCAGCAGATCCAACACACTCAGCTGGCGTATTGTCTGGAGTCAATAAGCTTGAGTTGTGTGCAGATCTGGAAATCATAGCAAACCAAGTGTTAGATGAGTAGACGAATCAAGACTGAGATCCTGGAATTTTTTCACAGTGAAACCCTCATGCAACGATACAGTTTTCTGAGATGAAATTCTGGAATGATGAGCAAACTAGAGAGGAGAAAATCAGGCCGAGATGGTGTTGCTGCTATTGCGTTCCTATCAGAAATAACATGGATCGTCCTTGGAATTGCGATGACAAGAAGAAATAAAAGTGGTAGTCAGTACCTGGATAAGTAGTCCCAGAAAAGCTCTTCATAAACAGCAGACTCCATGGCGCAACGAGAGCTTGGGGAAGAACGGGGAAGTAGTTGGAATGGGGAAGAATGGCAGGATGTGGGGAAACGTTGACCGGCTGAACACACAAGAATCGATCCCGTGACCTTTCCCTCCTAGGGACAACACTTCTGCTTAATCAAGTTCAAGCCCTGCACCACGCGTTCCTACCTCCTAGGGACACAACTATCGCGTAATCACACGCGGTACCTGTCATTTTCTTCTCCAGAATACCTGTCATTTTCTTCTCCAGAATAATCTTCCTCTTCCGCTCCAATCCATCCACTTGGTACCAGTCAAAAATATATTTTCTTCACGCGGTAGCTTACCGCGTACGCCTAACGCCACCCCGCCGGCCGGCCTCCACCTACCGCACCATGACTGATTGGAGTTTACGTAGTTTTGTTTTAAAAAAACTCAATAGAAAAACCTAATGAGCTGTCCCTTTTTCTTTAATGTGTTTAGGTGGGAGGTTGCTATTTATTACGTGCTCCTTTTCTTTTGCTCTCATTCAGGGCCTGTTTGGTTTCAAATAAGTCACCAACTTATAAGTCGAAAAGTGAAAAAGGTGACTTATTTTGCCAAACAGACCCGACTTATAAGTCACCCCACCTGCATGATGTTGATTGATGTGGAAAGGTGTGTCAGGTGACTTATAAGTCAGGTGACAACCAAACAGGCGTGACTTATAAGTCACTGGTTTTAAGTCACCTGACTTATAAGTCGGGTGACTTATTGGAACCAAACAGGCCCTCATATCATGAAAATCAAAATACAAGTTACACTATAACCAACATGACAAAACTGAAAAGATAGCAGAACGTCTCTGAGCTTGACATCAACGCACGTCACCTGCCTTTGGCACCACCGCATCAACCACCGAAGAAAGAATAACGGATCACCTCCTCACCCGAGCTCGACACGACTCCATCACTAATATGCAACTTTGCGGACCTTTAAAGTGACTCACCAAGAGTGAAGGCCTTGTTGTTGAACGAATCTGACCGGGGCAACACCCTGGACACGCCATCGAACTCCAAATCTGGCATCCCACCACGACTAAGACACTGAAGGAGGAAACCATGCCTGCCATCCGCGAACCACGAACCCAACACACGTTCCGTCTTTTAGATGTCGTTGATGCAGCCCACAATCTGCACCGCTCCTGGACTACCTCCCAAGCTCCGCGCCGACGGTAGAGCAAAGGCCGTGCAACGGCGGAGCCTATTACATACTCCCTCCGTTCCTAAATATAAGACCTTGTAGAGAGTTACAATACAGACTACATACGGAGCAAAATCGGTGAATATATACACTAAAATACATCTTTGCCGAAATTTTGGCGTTACTGTTTTTTTTGTTGACAAACAAATATAATACGTTTTGAATATTTTAATATGGACTACAAACACACTAAAACATGACTATATACATCCGACTTAAAAAAAAGTTAAAATATCTTATATTTTTGAACTGAGGGAGTATCTATTTAGTATTGCAGTGCTGATAGTTTTTCCTACAAATTTAGTCACGCTTGGACTTTAGACAAAATAATGCCTTTTTGTCGAGCCATAGGGTGAGTCCTTTTTGTGAATTCGGGGGGTTTTGGGGGGCTACTGGAGATATGCTCACGCGTGAAGAAATATAACTCTTTATCCTATTCGTAAGTGTTTGTTTCTCGAGCAAGGTTTAAAGAATTTGGCAATGGAGACTTTTACCTCCTGGTGCCATTTCCGCTGTCCTATTCGACCCTAGTCATCGCTCCCCTCTCCTTTGTGAGGTAGCGTGAGACCTAGGCCTACTGGGGCGAGCAGTTCGTCCTCTTCAGAGTTGGTCCTCAACCTAGAGCTCCTCTGCGGCTGACCATGGAGGAGAATCAAGCGAAACGGGAGCTGGATGCCCCCGTTGGCAAGAGGTAATTTCCGTTTGATCATGGGCTTTTGCATAGCTATAGAACAACACAGGATTCATCCGATCCCCACACTCATCATTTATCTCAGGCCGGTCAACCCACCTCCAAATCGTCCAGCTCCGGCAGTTTCCAGCAGCATATACAATTCAGACACAGCTACCGTCGTTTGATTCGACACCTTCGTGTAACTCACCGTTGACCTCAATCAGTTACCTTAGTATCTTACTGTTTCTACTGTTCTATTCTGCAGCAGTTCCGAATGCACACTTCAAGGCGATGCTTGCGACTGGCCCTCCAAAAACCTTATTGTAGAGGGGGGAAGTAAGGAGATCCAGCGTCACATAAGGCCTTGTTCGTTTAATCCTCCTCCCAAGGGGATTGGAGTGGATTGGAGAGGATTTTGCTTTGTAGGGGATCTAATCTCCCTCAAACCCTGCCATTCCCCTTCAAAAACCACCTTAACTGAACAAGGCCTAAAGGATTTCGATGAGGATGAGATCAAGGAACATCGTTACGGCATAGAGTTGGTAAGTATCTCTAGATTTCCATGTGTGGAACTGGAAATCCAGTAGTTGCACAACCTTATTTCAGTTCTCATGGATTTTATTTTTTCTTTTGCAAAAAAGTTCTCAATGCAGAATTTTGTACGGGTGTCTCCAAATTGGTATGGTATGCATACATACGGGAATACGGTTGTCTCGGAACCCATCATGAGACTAAAATGCACTTCTGATGTGCACGGTGTTATTGGCAAAATACATCAGCAAGGCGGAAGGTATTTTTGATATTCAAACCACAATGTTCCTACCATGCATGCATGTATCGGTCGTTTCTTTGAGATTGTGATATTCTTATAACGGGTATGCCTACTGGGGCGAGGCGGCGTGGGTGCCTGTCTCGGTGGGGGCAGGGCGATCGACGTAGAGATCTATAGCTATGCATTTATGAGTATGAAGAAATTTTAAGGGAAAATAAGTACGCTAATATCCCGTTGGCAAGAGGTAATTT